ATGGCACCGCGGGGACGCTTTGCGCGGCCCCGCGCGGCGCGCGGCGCCGCGCGCGGCGCCGCGCTCGTCGCGCTGGCGGCGGCCGCCCTCGGGTGCGGCCTCAGCGCCGCTTGGCTGGGCCGGCCAGGGGGGGGGCGGCCGCGCCGGGCGGCCGCGTGCCTGCAGGCTTCGTCGTCGTCGTCGTCCTTGTCATCGTCGTCGTCGTTGTCCTCGCCATCGTCGGCGTCGGGGTCGTCGTCGTCGTCGTCGTCGTCGCCGTCGTCGTCGTCGTCGTCGTCGTCGTCGTCGTCGTCGTCGCATCGTCGTCGTCGTCGTTGTCGCCGTCATCGTCGTCGTCGTCTTCGCCGTTGTCGTCGTCGTTGTCGTCGTCGTCTTCGTCGTCGTCGTCCTTGTCATCGTCCTCGTCGTCGTCGTCCTCGCCATCGTCGGCGTCGGCGTCTTCGTCGTCGTCGCCGTCGGCGTCGGCGTCGGTGGCGTTGGCGTCGGCGTCGGCGTCGGCGTCGGCGCCGTCGTCGTCGTCGGCGTCGGCGTCGTCGTCGTCGTCGTCGCCCTTATCGTCGCCCCCAGAATGGCCCTTCGGTGATTTTTATTTTTTTCTTCACGTAGCTCGGCGGCCGAACAGCGCTCAGCAGAGCTCTTTGAACAAGTTGGGCTTGTCCCGAGCCATCGGCGCGGTCGGAGTAATAGCAAGATATCCATTCCTAGGATATGGGGAAAATCATATCGGCGGATGTCTGGGGACTCGAGTTCGCCCCAACTTCTCGGGTGTTGCTAGAAGTGCCCCTGGCCCAAGGTGCCCCCCGGATGCTTTGTGCGACCCAGCGGGCCTCCAGAGCACCCCATCGCGAGGCCCGGATGGCGCCATTGCCCCAGAACAAAGCAAAAATCTGAAGGCACCTTGGGCCAGGGGCACTTCTAGCAACACCCGAATCTCGTGTCTGCCGACGCTTTTTGATGAGCCCCGTTTCAAATTACCTAACAGCGAAGACTGATAGGTTTCTAATGGTCTCAAAAGAAAGCATCCATGACTCCCCCAGGGGGGGTCGGGCCAGGATCCTGGGGAGAATTGCCGGGGAAGTCGTTTTCAGCAAACAGGTACACACTTCGTGGTCTTCGAGGTCCCAGAACTCCATTCCCGGGCCACATTCTTAATGCCCGGAGCCAACTGTAGCCCACTTCGTGATCTTCGAGTTCCCAGAACTCCATTCCCGGGCCACATTTTGAATGCCCGGAGCCAACTGTAGGCCACTTCGTGTTCTTCGAGTTCCCAGAACTCCATTCCCGGGCCACATTTTGAATGCCCGGAGCCAACTGTAGGCCACTTCGTGATCTTCGATTCCCAGATTTCCATTCCTGGGCACATTTTGATGCCCGGAGCCAACTGTAGGCCACTTCGTGTTCTTCGGTTCCCAGAACTCCATTCCTGGGCATGATTTGAATGCCCGGAGCCAACTGTAGGCCACTTCGTGTTCTTCGAGTTCCCAGAACTCCATTCCCGGGCCACATTTTGAATGCTGAAGCAGGCTGATGCTGAGTCTGAGGATTCAGGCTGAGGCTGAGGCAGGCTGAGGCTGAGGCCGAGGCTGAAGGCAGACTGAGGCTGAGGCTGAAGCAGACTGAGGCTGAGGCTGAGGCAGGCTGAGGATGAGGCTGAAGCAGGCTGATGCTGAGGCAGGCTGAGGCTGAGGCTGAGGCTGATGCAGGCTGAGGCTGAGGCAGGCTGAGGCTGAGGCCGAGGCTGAAGGCAGACTGAGGCTGAGGCTGAAGCAGGCTGAGGCTGAGGCTGAGGCTGAGGCTGAGGCAGGCTGATGCTGAGGCAGGCTGAGGCTGAGGCTGAGGCTGATGCAGGCTGAGGCTGAGGCAGGCTGAGGCTGAGGCCGAGGCTGAAGGCAGACTGAGGCTGAGGCTGAAGCAGGCTGAGGCTGAGGCTGAGGCAGGCTGAGGCTGAGGCAGGCTGAGGCTGAGGCTGAGGCAGGCTGAGGCTGAGGCTGTGACTGCGACTGCCGTTGCCACTGCGACTGTCATCGCGAATGCGACTACGACTGCGAGAACAGCAGAATTCTACAACTGGATTCTCATCTGAATCTGAAGGGGAATGCTTTCAGATATGCTCCTACACATCGCTATTAGGTTGCTTTGCCGGGATAATTTTGGTGGTCCAGTCTTCATGGGATGTTTGCAGCGAGAGGTCGCGTCAAATTTCAGTTCGTGTCACGCCATTTTCCTGACGGCCCCGTCGGGCCAACCCGAGTCCCCCGAACCCGAGTCTTGCGTCTCCCAGAGACTACAGATTTGATGTACCCCACGATTCATGTGTTCGTCGAAGCCACGAGAAAAATGCGCATAATGCTTGTAGATCTACGAGCATTCTGCGTATGTTCGGTTGGCTCGACGATGTGACCACTTCTGGGGTAAGTCTATTCTGCAGCCGATCCCCTGCTCGCATGCCCGCGGGTTCGCCTACGCGTTCCGGCCGGCCATCAAGCCATGCACTTTCGTTACGATGGCGGGTGCGCCCGTGGGGTGCGAGAGGAGGAGGAGGAGGAGGAGGAGGAGGAGGAGGAGGAGGAGGAGGAGGAGGACTGGAGGCCGCCCTGGACATGCTGGTCGGCGTGCACGGCGTGGCCGACAGAGTTCAGGCCATCATCCCTGCCCTCGCCGCTCTCGTTCAAGGAGTGGAACCGCCTTGGCTCGACAGGTTGCGGAGGAACGTCGCGCTCCACTCCGCCGCCGATGGAGTGCCGTCGCTGGTGCTCGCGGATGCCGCCGCCTTGCGTGCTGCTCAGCGCGGGCCGCGCTTGGGCCCTGGGAAGCTGGCTGCCCCTGCCAGGCGTTCGACGAGGAGGAGGAGGGCGCGCCGCGGCTCTGTCGGTTCGCAGTCCTCGGCGGCGACTTCTTGTTCGCTCTCGGAGGCTTCTGATCTCGTCCCTGGTGCGGGCAGCTGGGAGAGGCTGGACGCCGCAGGCGTCTTGTGCACGTGCGGTGCTACAGTCTTCTCGTCCTGCCGTGCGGACGTGCCGCAGCCATGCGAGAATTGGGAGGCGCTGCTCGAGCCCAACGTCATCAGGCACGACGTCGGGGTCAGCACGTGCGTGAAGAGCGAGGTGCGGGAGACTAAGCTGGATCCCATCTTTGTCTCGGAGGCACCGCCGCTCGTGGAGGTGGCCCCGTTCGTGCCGCTAGAGCAGTTGCACTCCGAGCTGTACGTCCTGGGAGTCGCCGCTTGGGCGCGGGAGAGAGCGGGGAGATGTGATCAGCCGTTTGTTCGTCGTCGCCAACGGCTCGATCGCTTCGCTTGGCACCCAGTTGACCTCCCCCCTGACCCTGGCGAAGGGCGCCTCTTTGGCTGAGGGTACCTGCTACGAGTGGCTGGAACAATTTTTGTTTGAGTCGTGCAGCGGATATACTGCAGCATTGTGCTTCTGTTATTCTCGCAGGTCTCGGTGGCTTTGGCATTATTTTTTCGTGGGATTGGGGCCTGCTAATGCGTGATGTGCTGATTGTGGCTTCCTGGCGTATTTTTTGCTGTATGTGGCTTACTGGCATGCGGGCATTCAGCAGCTGACCTACACGATCGAGCTCTCGGTGTCTGTCGTGAAGCGTGGGCGCACTCTGCTTACCTTTTTGAGGTTCGCTGCGCGGTCGCTGCCTCTTCATCTGCGCCTCTGGGATGTGGTGGTAGTCAGTCGGAGGAGGGCTTGTCGTACACTTGGATGGTCTCCTACCTGGTCTTCGGCATGCCCTTCTTCGAATTCTTCAGGGGCCTGTGCGTTGCTTTAAACAAAAAAAAGAGGAGGGGGAGGGAGGGAGGGAGGGAGGGAGGGAGGGGAGGGAGGAGGGAGGGAGGGAGGGAGGGAGGGAGGAGGAGGGAGGAGGAGCAGGCAGCCCTCATCCGTCGAGGCGACCGCGGCACGCCAGCGGAGACCACTCCGTGCAAGGTGCCCCCCCTCCACGGGATCGGCGTGAGCTCGTGGGGAGCGAGGAGGAGGAGAAGGAGGAGGAGGAGGAGGAGGAGGAGTAGGAGAGAAAGGAGGAGGCGGATACAAAAAGGATGAGGAGGAGGAGGGAGGAGGGAGGAGGGAGGAGGGAGGAGGAGGGGGGAGGAGAGGAGGAGGAGGAGGAGGAGGAGGAGGAGGAGGAGGAGGAGGAGGGAGGAGGAGGAGGAGGAGGAGGAAAGGAGGAGGAGGGGAGGAAAAGGAAAAGGAATAGGACAGGCCTCCGCCGAGGGCGCCGGGGCTCCGCAGGCGAGCCCCCGCGCCTGCCTCCGCCTCCTCCTCCTCCTCCTCCTCTCCTCCTCTCCTCCTCCTCCTCCTCCTCCTCCTCCTCCTCCTCCTCCTCCTCCTCCTCCTCCTCCTCCTCGGGAAGCCTCCCGGAGGGCCGGGGGAGGCCCCCCTCGGGCCTTCTCCGCGGCCCGCCCCTCTCCTTGCCCTCGGGCGCGCCCTCCGCGAGAGGCGCGCGCGGGTGCCTCGCCGGCCCCGCTGAAGGAGGAGCTCTTCGCGGGGGCTGCCAGATGTGTCCCTGGCCAGAGGGGGTCCCCGGCGCTCGTGGCTCCGCTCTGGAGCCCCGGGGGCCCCCCCTCTGTGCCCTCGCGGCGGGGTGCTCAAGAGGCCGTGGGGGGGGCTCCTGGGAGGTCCCGGGGGCGCCTCGGGCCAGGGAGGGCTCTGGCGGCGCCCGGCCGTCCAGCTCTGCGACGAGTTCCGCGCCAAGCAGGAGGAGATGTGGGAGATGATGGACGCCGAGGACCGTGGAGCGCAAAGCCTGCTGGATCGCGTAGGCCTCCGTGGGTCGGGTCGCGCCTCGGTGTCCCGACCGTGATCTCGCGCGGAGCTAGGCGCGGGAGGCGCGTCAAAGGAGGAACCTGGGAAGCCTCGCACGTCCCGGTGGTCCCCGGTGATCCGCTGCAGCTCTGCGGCGCCTCGCGGCCCTCGGAGAGATCGACGGCAGACGTTGCCCCTGGACTTCTTGATGGCAGGATCTGTTGTCGTACGTGCTTGCCGTGTGTGTCCCGGTGCCCGAGGTCGCCAGCGCGCGCCCGTCGCCCGCGGAGTCTCTTCGGCCAGGCCTCCGTCCCCCCTCCGCCTCCGCGGCCGCTCTCTGCTTTGCAACCCGCTCTACAGCGGAGGCCCCTGCCAAGAAGCCCTGCTTGCCTCCGGGGTGCTCTGGGCCTCGTGGGTTTCGATGGCTCTGCCATGGAGAGCGTGCCTTTCCCACACCACAGATCCATGGACGTCCTGGCCTCAGGGTTCGGCTTCTTGTGGACGGTTTCTCGTGGTCGAGCGCCTAACTGCAGAGCGCCCAGTGCCCGGCGCGGCCCGCCTGGCTCTGTTGTCGCGCTCGCGCCCGCCGGCGCTGCGGACAGAAAAGCATGTCTTCCGTGTTCTGAAGGGGACAACGACACAATTGTTCGTCGATTCCCAGGAAAAGACCGGAAACTATGGGCAGTTGGGGGGGGAGACGAAAACCCAGAGAGCAAGGACTAATATCGGGAATCCTGGGGTTTGCGTCTATCTATTTGCGTGCCCCTGCACGCGTGTGTTCGCCGCCCGTGAAAGGAGAAGGCGGGCAAGGCCGCGAAGCAGGGGGGGCCCTCGCTGCTCGAGGCCGAGAGCTTCGCGGCGCAGCGCACTGAGCTGGGCGGCGAGCTGGCGGAGCTGCGCAACCGCACCGTCGCCGCGGCGCTCGCCGTCGCGGCGCTGAACCCGACGGCGCGGCCGAACTTCGGGTGGCGCGGCTTCGGCGGGGGCAGCCCCAGCGCGGGTGTTGCTGGAGCGTGGCGCGCGCCAGGAGGGGCCCTCTTTTTTTTGTTTTGGAGCTCAACGCCAACACCTCACAAGCTCTGCGGGCGCCACCGCCACGACGAGGACGAGCACCTTGGCGATGCAGAAGCCCACCCGCAGAAACGTCATCGCCACATGCGAGGGAATATACGAGGAGGCAGGAGGGGCCCTCGCCTCCGTGGATAGAAGGAGTCTGCATCTCGTCCCTGGCGGAAGGGCCGGCGCCATGCGGCGGGAGCCAAGCGAGCGCCCGGCGGCAAAACTCAGACACGTCGCCGCGCCGCTGGATCCGACGCGCGGCCTCACGCCACGAGGAGGGCGCCTGGGGGCCACCGGGGCAAGCTCCGCCCCCGACGCGGCGGGTTTGCCGTGGGGCCTGCCGCTGTGATGGCTTCGTCTGCCTGGGGCGCGGAGCCCAGGGCTTGCCGTTGGTCTGCCGTGGGTGTGCCGTGGTGCCGGCGTCGTCCACTCAGGCGCGTCGAGGACGAGTGGCGCGGCGACAGATGCGGCAGCCTCTTTGGGTTCAGGGTTCCCCGAACCCGCCATGCCCGCCATGCAGGCATCGGACAAAATAGTGAGCACTCATGTCACATTTATCTGCCAACGCCCCCCCCCTCCCCCCAATGTTCAAGGTTGGCGGTGGGTCTGATGAGCTGCACTTCGGCTGCAGTCTCCTCCGCACGTGTCAACTTCAGTTTGGGGGGCAGGAGGAGTGTTCAGTAATTGTCTCCCTCTACCGTGTGTCCTTGGCCCAACCCTGAAACCTTGGCGACGCAGTTCTTGCGTTGCGGGTGCTCCGTTTTGTTTTGTTTGCTTCGGGCTCCAGGGCCATCACAGATCGATCCGGCTCGGGATATAGCCCCAGAAAGATAGGGACTAGAGCCCCAGTTGTGATTTCGTCGCGATGTTGCATTTTTTTGTCCCGTCGGATCTCAGGTGTCCCAATGGTTCCCCGGGAGGCCCCCACGGCCTCCAGAGCACCCCTCACGAGGCCCAGGGAAGCCCAGGGCCCCAGAGTGGCGCGAAAGGCTGGGGGCACCCTGGGCCAGGGCCAGTTCCTAGCAACACCCGGCCAGCGAGTGCATGCTGAACGGCACCTGGAAGCTCATCTTCACGGACGCCGCAGACGCGACCTTCAAGAAGGGCAGGCGCGGCGCGGCGACCACCTTCCAGGAGGTCGACGCCGAGGCGGGCTGGTTCGTCAACTGCGTCGACTTCAGCGGCGAGTCGAAACTGCGCGGCTTCCGCGTCTTCGTGGAAGGCGTCGCCCTGGGCGACGCGGAGATGATGGGCGTGTTTTCCACCACCACCACCATACGTTGAAGGGGGGGTCCTCCTCCTCCTCCTCCTCCTCCTCCTCCTCCTCCTCCTCCTCCTCCTTCCCCCCTCCAACTTATGGTGGTGGTGGTGGTGGAAAACAGGCCCATCAGGAGATGCAGCTGAACTTCCGCAAGGTCAAGCTTCTCCGGCGGTCGCGCTGGCTCCTCGGCACGATCACCATCCCGCTGCCTCCGCCGGGGCTCCTGCGCTGGATCGGGAGCCTTTTCGCTCGCCGCAAGGGCGGGGAGGTGAACCCGAGCAGCCGCGGCGCGGGCTTCCAGCTGCTGTACGTCGACGACGACCTGCGCATGCACCAGTGATGGGCCTGTTTTCCACCACCACCACCATAAGCTGGAGGGGGGAAGAAGGTGAAGGATGAGGGGGAGGAAGAGAAGGAGGAGGAGGAGAAGGAGGAGGAGGAGGAGGAGGAGGAGGAGGAGGACCCCCTTCCCCTCCTACTCGTGGTGGTGGCCGAGGAAAACGAGCCCACCAACCAGACCTTCGACGGTCTGTACTTTGTGCAGAGGCGCCTCGGCTGATACGCCCTCCGCCGCTGGCGCGCGAGATGGGCGCGGCGGTGCCCGTCGTCGGGGGGCGCTGACGGTGCCCCGGGCCCAAGGTGCCCCCAGCTTTTCGCCCGATTGTGGAACCACAGATTCAGAACATAAGGAAAAAAACTTTTCGCCCGATGTGGGAGCCCCTGGGCCCCCTGGGCCTCGCGAGGGGGTGCTCTGGAGGCCGTGGGGGCCTCGCTGGAAGTCCTGGGGGCACCCTCGGCCAGAGGCACTTCGGCGTCGCCCGACAGGTTTTCTGACGTTCGCCCGCCCTCCCGACGGCGGCAGCGCCGCGCACCCGCGTGCTGCCCGCGGTGCCGTGGGCACGATCGTTCTCGGCGCACCCGTTGGCATCTGCGCGTCGCAGCGGGCAGCATGTCCAGATGGTCATCGCCACGATGCGCACTGTCGTCGGATACAGCCAGGACCCTGGGGAAGGGGAGCCAGTCAGTGATGGGGCCCGCGAAGCCAAAACATGCACCGGAAACGCAAGACCAGGCCTGCCGCAGCTGGTGTCTTTTCGGGTGGCGGCAGTGCCGGTTCGTGGAGTGGGGCGTGGGAGGCGCCCTCCAGCACACGGCCGAACCAGACCCAGTCTTGCCAGCGCCCGATGCTGAAGAAGTGCGCGCGTAGATTCGTGCGCATGTGCAGAGCTGTACAGAGGAAGCCCATGCGAACAAGCACCCTGCTTGCCTCCAGGGTGCCCCGGGGCTCCTTGGGCTCCGATGGTTCTACGGTGGCCACGTCCCCGTATCAAACATCCATGGACATCCTGGGGTCTCAGGGTTGGGTTTCTTGTAGCGTTGTAGAAGGTTGCCTGTGGTCGAGCTCCTGCTGTGCCCAGGGGCGGGGGTTCGCTAGCCGGGTTCGGCGGCCTGGGTCTCCACACGGGGCGGGGGGGGGGGCACGGGGCCGTCTCTTGGGGGTTGTCGGGAGGGTGCCGTGGCCGCCTTGGAGCAGGAGGAGGAGGAGGAGGAGGATGAGGAGGAGGAGGAGGCCCCAGGCTGTCGCCCTTGGGGCCAGCCTGGGGCCGTCGTGAGGGGCATCTTCGGGCCGCCCCGGGCCAGGTGCAGGCAAAGCCAGGGTAAGGATGCAACACTTTGCAAGGCTACCCTCGCAAAGTACCCTTTGGATGGTTAAAACAAAAACGCAACTTTGCAAGGCGACCCTTGCATCCTTGCTGCTTCTTCGACCCTCCCTGAGCCAATTTGGACGCCCAAGGACGTCCAAACTGGAAGTCCAAGGGCCTTGCGTCCTTATCTTGCCTCCTTCCTGTGGATTTTGCCGGTGGCCGTCTTGGAGCGGAAGTTCCGCGGGGCCCTCTGGAACGCTGGGGCGCCATGCAGGGGCCTCACTTCTGGGGAGTCGAGCGTCGAAGAAGCTGACATCTCGTCCCGGGTGCCTCGACGGCTTCAGCGCCCGCGCGTCGCCCCGCCCGTCGTTCTGCATCTCCTGCGGCCCCGATCCGACAGGACGTTGGATCGCGCCGAGAGGACCGCTTCGGTCGAGCTTTCTTCATGCGGCCCAGCACGCAGCTCCCAGCGACAAGAGGGAGTAGGGCCGAGCGTATGGCTAAGAAGCCTCCTCCCGGACAGCAGGGCCGGCGTTCCTTAGCCAACTTGCTGGGAAGCTGGCCCAGTTTCTTGAGCATGCTCGTCCCCGCAGCGTGAACGAAACAGTTGGCCCAGGCTTGTGTGAAGAAACTTCCAGGAGGGTGGCCCAGGTTCCTCGAGTTCTAGCCTTCCTGATCATATCTTGCCAGCTGCAGTGAGCACAGAAGGAAGGCCGGCGGAAGCAGCGCGGCGGCGGCGGCGGCGCTGGCGGAGGCCAGGGGAAGGCCAGCGGCAGGCGGCGGAAGTACGAAAGCGAGGCCAACATTTTGGGATCCAGGCTCTCCAGAGGCGGCCATCTGGGCGACGCCGACAGTCAAGCAGTGGCGAAGCGCCCTGGCTCGCCTTCCACGAAATGTTCTTAGAACAATTCTGGCGGAGTCCGTCTTGTCTTCACACATCGGTTTTTACCTAACAGCTTTTGCTGATAGGTTTCTAGTGGTGTCAAAAGAGAGCATCTGGATGGACTCCACAGGGGGGTCTGGGCGGGTGCCGGGGAGGAGGGCCGGGAACAGAGCCGGGCTCGTTTTAAGCCAACAGTCACACACTTCGTGCTCTTCGACCTCCCAGAACTCCATTCCCGGGCCACATTTTGAATAACCGGAGCCAACTGTACGCCACTTCGTGCTCTTCGACTTCCCAGAACTCCATTCCCGGGCCACATTTTGGATGCCCGGAGCCAACTGTAGGCCACTTCGTGCTCTTCGACTTCCCAGAACTCCATTCCCGGGCCACATTTTGGATGCCCGGAGCCAACTGTAGGCCACTTCGTGCTCTTCGATTCCCAGAACTCCATTCCCGGGCCACATTTTGGATGCCCGGAGCCAACTGTAGGCCACTTCGTGCTCTTCGAGTTCCCAGAACTCCATTCCCGGGCCACATTTTGAATGCCCGGAGCCAACTGTAGGCCACTTCGTGCTCTTCGAGTTCCCAGAACTCCATTCCTGGGCATGATTTTGAATGCCCGGAGCCAACTGTAGGCCACTTCGTGTTTTCGAGTTCCCAGAATTCCATTCCCGGGCCACATTTTGAATGCTGAGACAGGCTGAGGCTGAGGCTGAGGGCTGAGGCTGAGGCAGGCTGAGGCTGAGGCTGAGGCTGAAGCAGGCTGAGGCTGAGGCAGAGGCAGGCTGAGGCTGAGGCAGGCTGATGCTGAGGCAGGCTGAGGCTGAGGCTGATGCAGGCTGACCCTGAGGCAGGCTGAGGCTGAGGCCAAGGCTGAAGGCTGAAGCAGGCTGAGGCTGAGGCTGAGGCTGAGGCTGAGGCAGGCTGAGGCTGAGGCTGAGGCAGGCTGATGCTGAGGCAGGCTGAGGCTGAGGCAGGCTGAGGCTGAGGCTGAGGCAGGCTGAGGCTGAGGCTGAGGCTGAGGCTGAGGCTGATGCTGAGGCAGGCTGAGGCTGAGGCTGAGGCTGATGCAGGCTGAGGCTGAGGCAGGCTGAGGCTGAGGCAGGCTGAAGGCAGACTGAGGCTGAGGCTGAAGCAGGCTGAGGCTGAGGCTGAGGCAGGCTGAGGCTGAGGCTGAGGCAGGCTGAGGCTGCTGAGGCAGGCTGAGGCTGAGGCTGAGGCTGATGCAGGCTGAGGCTGAGGCAGGCGGAGGCTGAGGCCGAGGCTGAAGGCAGACTGAGGCTGAGCTGAAGCAGGCTGAGGCTGAGGCTGAGGCAGGCTGAGGCTGAGGCTAAGGCTGTGACTGCGACTGCCGTTGCCACTGCGACTGTCATCGCGAATGCGACTACGACTGCGAGAACAGCAGAATTCTACAACTGGATTCTCATCCGAATCTTAAGGGGAATGCTTCCAGATATGCTCCTACACATCGCTGTTAGGTTGCTTTGCCGGGATAATTTTGTTCTAAGAACATTGCGCGTTTGTTCTTAGAACATTCTGGGGGTGCACAAAAAATTCGTGGTAGGACTGTATGACTGCCGGGGCGGTCGGCCCCTGCCCGAGAAAGACTAAGTCGACGGCGCCGACACTCGCGCGTGTGCCCCTCGCGCAAGGTCCCGCGCAGGCGCCCTCGCTTCCACTGTGCGGCGTGCCGCGCCGGCGCCCCGCGCCAGCCACTGCGTGAGGTCGCTGCGTCATCCCGCGTGAGGCCCGTTCCGGAGCGTCGCTCAGCCACGCGCAGAGGGGGGTGGAGGGAGGGGGGGGGGCTTCTTAGAAGCACCCCTGCTTCTTAGAAGGCGCGGGCCTTATCTGTAGATGTAAGGCCGGCGCCTTCTAAGAAGCAGCCTGCTTCTAAGAAGCCCTCCCCCCTCCCCCCACCCCCTTGTGCGCGCCGCCAAGTCGCCCATCTGGCGGTGGCCCAGGAGCCGTCCGCAGGCAGAGGCAGACCGTGGGCGAGCCGGCAGACGCCGGCGTGGGCGTGCGGGAAGCACACGGACGCGCCTCGTCTCCCGTCGGCTCCGGCGCCGGCCGCGCCTCCTGGAGGCCTCCCTGGGCGCATCGGGTGGGCTCTGGGGCTTTGGGCGTGCCTCTGTGGCTGTCCCTCCAGCGTCGGGCAGGGTCCCAGGAGGGTCTCGTGGAGCCCCTCTGGGCCGGCCGCAGCCGTTAAAGCGGGGGCCTCTTTGATGTCGGAATTGGCTCCGTCCGTCCTTGGGCTGTGCCTGGGCGTTTTTTTTCGTGAGCTCAGACGCATGTGGGGTTCACAGCATCGCTCCTCATTCGAGATTATGTATGGCATACTGTGGCACTCACAAGAAGACGCTGGCTGCATGCGAGGCTGTGACGCCGTTTGAATCCAGTCGTGGTCTGCCTTCCGGCTATCTTCGCTGAGAGAGGACGACCCTACGACTTCCAAGTCGAGCAAATGGGGATCCCTTTCCCAGATCGCCCCCAAGAGAGAGCTTAGCACTTCCGAACTTCCCCCGAGATCTTCAAGTGCAGCCGTTGCCTCGCAAACGGCCCCCGCGTGCTCAGCTCGCTAAATGGATGCTCCGCTGGGGCGTGCTGTGGAAACGGAAAAACGAACGGAGCGGTGGAGGATGTTGCGGAGGTATTCAGGAGGAGGAGGAGGAGGAGGAGGAGGAGGAGGAGGAGGAGGAGGAGGAGGAGGAGAGGGAGGAGGAGGAGGAGGAGGAGGCGGGGGAGGGAGGGGGGAGAGGAGGGGGAGGAGGAGGAGGAAGAGGAGGAGGAGGAGAAGGAGGAGGAGAAGGAGGAGGTGTACAAGGACAACAGATCCAAGGCCCAAATCCCGTCAAATCCCCTGGGCGAATTCACGTCAGTTACTGGTACCTGCGTCGTTGTGCTGCCAACGTGGCTCTGAGATCGTCCGCTGCATCCAAGCCAATCGTGATAGCCTCCTCTGTGCCCAGCTCGTCCCAGCGATCCTTTTCCAGAACGTGCTGATCTCAAACGTGGAGCATGATGCTGATGGTGACGGTGATGGTGGTAATGATGGTTATGATGATTGTGCTGATGATGGTGACGAAGGATAAGAACAAGAAGCCGATGATGAATGTTGATGCTGATTACGAATAGGATGAGGATGAGGATCATGATGCTGATGATGCTGATGATGGCGATGATGCTTATGCTGGTGACGATGCGGATTCTGAGGATGATGAGGACGACGAGGACGTCAATGATGCCAATGATGCTGCTGCTGATGCTGATGATGGTGATGCTTATGCTGTTAAACATGATGATGATGATGTTGCTGCTGGTGGTGCCGATCACGCTGCTGCTGATGATGATGACGGTGATGATGATGACGATGCTGATGATGTTGATGATGATGATGATAATGCTGATGCTGATGATAATGATGGTGATGGTGACGATGCTATGGCTATAATGATGCTGATGCTGATGCTAACGCTGATGCTGCTGATGATGATGCCGTTGA